TAGCCAGATCTCTTATATAGCAGCTCAGGGCTCCAAAAGTGAACATTGCAAGAGGATTCTCTACCCCAGCAGGATCTCTCACCTGTCATGGATCTGATCTCTGCCCACCTATGTCCAGACTTGACAAAAGACCCAAAGTAGAAAGTAGTCACTCATCTCTGCTCACCTAGAAATAATTGGTCCTTCTTTAAAATTTAGTTTCTTTTTATTACTTTATACCTACAGCTTTCTGATGTTTAAAAAAATACGATTCTTTAATTCATCCAGCTTTTTCTAGCTGTTATGATGAAAGTATTATCTTTTTATTATCTTTTATTTTTTAATCATTCTCCTAAACAGAAGCAGACTCCTTGAGTTTAACTACCTCATGCCATTGTCTGTGGAATTCAGTGTGGGAATATTATTACCTTAAACTTTATTTATGTATTCATTTTATGAGCGAGAAGATAGAAAAGGAAAGAAAAGCACTCTCAACAAAGCCTCATGCCACAGTCTATGCACCGGCCTTTCCTAGCCAGCCAGGATCATGGGCATATGCAGCTGGCATGTACAGGTTGACCTGAGAACAGAAGCCCATTTTTCCGGCATTACAGAGTCTTGCACTACAGCTGTGCCGTGACTGCTAGGCAAATAGAAACTAACAAGAGTCTTGGCAATTTTTTTTTTTAAATGAGAGATTTTTGCTGTAGGGCATGTGTGCTCCCCAGAAAGATAAGAGACAGCGAGAAATTACCACCTTGGGCATGGCCATACCACAATCCCTTCTCTTTCTCCTCTATTCTCCTTTTGGGATTTTGGGCATGCACACACATGTGCCCATCATGAACTTTAAGCCACTGGGTCCAGGGCTCAAAATGCGGTTGGTTATGTGGGAGTCCAACAGCATAACCATTACACCATCTATTGGTCCTGGTATTATTTTTTAAAGAGGTTTTTGCCTTAGGGCATGTATGCCTATGAGAGAGAGATTGAGAGAGAGAGAGAGAGAGAGAGGGAGAGAAACAGAGCACATGAGAGTGAGACAGAGACAGTGAGAGGGAAAGTGAGAAATCACCCCCTGGGGGGATGGCAATGCTGCAGTCCCTTCTCCATTCTTGTCCCTGGATCTTGGGCACACACACACACATACACACACGCACACACACACATGCACCTGGCATGATTTTTCAAGGCACTGGATCTGGGACTCAAACTGTGGTCGGTCATGTGGTAGTCCAGTGATGTAACTGCTACATCATCTGCTGGCCCCAAGTATTTTGGTATTTTAATAGTTAATCTTCTTTAGATTGGAACTAGGTAATTTTTTAAAAGGTTTTTGCATAGGCTGTGTGCACTTGCTGGAGAGAGACAGAGAGAAGGGAAGTGAGAAATATCCCCCTCAGGAGGGATGACTATGCCACAGCCCCTTCTCCCTCCTTATCCTCTTGGGATTTTGGGCACACACTCACATGAGCTTGGCATGATTTTCTTTTCTTTTCTTTTCTTTTTGGAGAGGTTTTTGCTATAGGGCGCGGGCGCTCGCCGGACAGACAGAGAGAGACATAGAGACAGAAAGCGAGAAATCACCCCCCAGGGGGGATGGTCATGCCGCAATCCCTTCTCCTCCATTCTCCTCTCGGGATCTTGGGCACACACGCACACGCGCCTGGTGTGAGTTTTAAGCCACTGGGTCCGGGATGCGAACCGCGGTCGACTACGTGGGAGTCCAGCGACATAGCCATTATGCTAACTGCTGGTTCCCAGAGCTTGGCATGATTTTCAAGCCACCAGGTCTGTGGCTCAAACCACAGTAGGCCATGTGGGAATTAGCACCTTTACCACTATGCCAACTGCTGACCCCTTAGGTAATTTATTTTATAAATTTCTACTGTATAGTGAAATTCTAGTTTCATTAACAACACTTTCTTAAAGGGGCTTTGAAGTATAAATTATAAATATATAAATGAATTGTAATATATATTTTTATAGGTTGAATATATAATTCCGTGAAACAATTGATAAAACCTCTTTCAGTTCAGCCATTATTTACCTATTTCTCTGGGTTGGTCAATCCACTGTACTGTATGTGTATTTTCCTTTTGACTTCAAAAATGATTCTAGGCCCAGCCTTGTAGCACAGTGGGTTAAGCACTGTGCATCGGGAGCTGGGTCTTGGCCTTTGCAGCTGGTAAAACATGCTGGGGCACCTGTTTGAATGTGTGTGTGTCCCAAATCCTGATGGGATAAAGAAATGGAGGAAAAAAGGATTGTGATGTGACAACATCCCCTTGAAGGATGCCCTCTCTCTCTCTCTCTCTCTCTCTCTCGTGAGTGCATGTGCCCTCTGGCAGTGAAAGCAATGACTCTAGAAGAGCACATGAGAAGGTATTAGGGCACCTGTGGATTTGTGCTACCATTAGTAATTATAAGATGAAAACCTTTCATAAAGCTATGAAGAAAACTCTTGTACTCTTGAGCAATAGTTAACATTTCATTAAATAGTGTCCAGTAATCACATACTAACTAGTTTGTTTCTAAATGAAACTATTAGGCCAATCTTCAGTTTTCTGTCTGGAGTTTTAGTATCATTTTGCACCGATTGGTATAGAAATGAGTTATAAAACTGTAGCCTGAAAAATTAGAGTGAACTTCCAGAAATTTTAAAGTGTCTCATGGGCTAATTTACTGCAGTATTATACTCGTAAGATTTTAATAGTATACTGAAATATAAGGATACGTTTATTTATCTAATTGATACACAGGACTTTTCAGTTATGTATTACTGATATTGCAGATTTGAGTGGAGATTTCTAAAAGAGGGTTTGTCATGACTCTTTATATCTGCTTCCTTGATCTGAGCGATCATCACTAAATAGTTTCAAGAATCCCTTATCTTATGTTGTACATTATCTTATGGAAATTAATGAACTTGGAAAAATTTTATAGTCTATTAGTGATCAGAATTTTAATTAAAAATTGTTTTTGAAGGAGGAAGATATTTTGGACCTTCTGGAGCAATGTGAAATTGATGATGAAAAGCTGATGGGAAAAACTACCAGGCCTCGAGGACCAAAGGTGCAGTATCTCTTATCTTTCGTAATATCAACCGAGATGCCTAAGTACAGTTGAATTTCCCTTGCTGTTTCTCATTGTAAGAAAGGCTGCTGCTGCTGTCGGATGTAGGAACTGTGTGTCCAATGCAGGTAGAGTTGGGAGGATGATGTCTCCTTACACTTAGAAGCTTTGTTTTGTTAGTTTGCAAGTAACTTGTAACATTCTAAATAAGGCAAGTCATGATTCTAGAGATCCTTATTGGGAGCCCCATTTTTTGTTAACCCAGTAACATCGATAGTGTGTTAACTGAAGTAGTTACGATTGCTGGGAATAAATATTACAGAAAGCTGTCATGTAGGCAAAAATGGGCACATGCTTGCTTTACCTGCATCTGCTCTGTGGTTTACAGCAACCAAAGGTTTACTTTTTTTTTTTTTTTTTTTAGAATTATTTATTTTATTTGTTACTCTTATCTATCTATATGTTTATTTATTTTAATTTGACCAGAGAGAGACAAAGGGATAGTGAGAAAGCAAGCTGTCAGGTCTATGACTCAAACTATGGTCAGCCATGTGGGAGTCCAACACCTTCACCAACGTGCCACCTAGCCGCTCCCCCACCTAGCAGCTCCCCGCCCCCCTTTTTAAAGTGAGAAATCACCCCTTGGGGGGGATGGCCATACTACAGTCACTTCTCCATTCTTCTCCCAGGATCTTGGGGACGAACGCACCCAGGCACAGCATGATTTTCAAGCCACTGGCTCTGGGATTGTCAACGTTCTTTTTACAGTAGGAGAGTTAAATTTGAAAAATCTTGGAAACTTTTTTCACTCTGTTCCTTTTACTTTACATTTCAACATTTCTGTTGTATCTGTGTCCTTATGCTTTGTTATGCTTTCATGTTTTTTGTGTCTCTGAAATGCCTATCTACTAAGCAACAAAACAAAACAACCCTCCCCCTACATTGTTGCTTAATTGGAGACCCCCTTCCTAATCCACGTGGACTGTTGTTGCCTTTGTGAAACCTTTTTTCACTCCCCAGTTAGATTTAGATCTTCCTTCCTCTCCTTTTCCTGCTGTACCAAAAAAACCCACTTTTACAGAGCAGTTATGACAGATAATTATTTGCATGTTTGCCTTAGTACAGACTGTAAGTTCCTTGCAGGTCCAAAATGGATTTTCATCTTTGCATCTCTAGCAACTAGCATATCCTACGTTCTTAGAATCCCTTGAATTATTTGTGTCCACAGGGACCTCACTGGCTAGTGGGAGAGCAGCTAGGTAAACCAAGCACTGTGGGATGTGGCAAGTACTTTAGAACAGGCACTGCAAAGTGCTCTACAGCATAGAGAAGAAGGGACCGGCAGAAGTGGATGGCTTCAGAAAGGCAGTGCCATTTCAGCCAGATCTTGAAAGATGAGAAGTGCTGTAAACATGGAGAGGGAGTTTTAAAGGCAAAGACATGGCAGTGTGACCCTGCCCAGGTTATTGTAGAAGCAATGAACAATTTGATATAACTCAAGCAAAAGGTTCTGGGAGGGTGAAATGGTGCAAGATGAGCCCATGAAGAGATGCTCAGTAGAGACATCTGGTCAACACTTCGGATGTCAGACACTGTTCCAAATACTGTGCTCTACACTGAGGCTTTGTGGCCTTGCAGTATATAATTCTATTGGAACAAATATATTTTAAATTGTAAGTGAAAGTAATATCGCCATAGTCATGGCTTCACATTTGAAAGTTTCTAAGCTTTGTGTCTTAACTACTGCAGTTCAGTAACCAGACATGAGATAGTCTGGGGGAACAGTGTTCATTACAGAATTGCAAGTCCAAAAGCCCTGAGGCAGCCTTATGCTATCTTATATGTTCCTTTTCTCATTTATGTAAGGCATGTTATCCAAACAAAATATAACAGTTTTAGAGGGCAGAATTCATATTGTACGCTTGTTCAACTCTTCCTCATTCTAGGCCAGTAGAGGGAACTAATGATGTATTTGTTTGAAATTAATTGGATAGTTGCCATAGTTTGTAAAGCCAGCAATATTTCAAAGTGGTTGAAAGCCACCTAATCAGTCTGAAGAAGACTAATTTGTGTAACTGTTTACCAAGGGTCCCATGTGAGCCAAACTTTAAAATTGCCCCTCCTTTTGAGAGGTATGATGTTACATGCCAAACTGATTTTCAGTGTCTACTGATAGAACAAAAATTGGAGATAACCAAGATTAAGTAAAATCTGTATTTGTACTAGGAGAAATAATAACTTTTGACTCGTTTGAGAATCTAAGAAATATTATTGGACTGTCTGGAAAGTCATGACACATTTTTTCATAGGAAAACAGAAAAATAAGAACCAGCAGATGGCATAATGGTTATGTTGCTGGACTCCCACGTAGTTTACAGTGGTTTGAGTCCTGGACCTGGTGGCTTGAAATTCATGCCAGGTGTGTGTGTATGCATGTCCAAAATCCCAAGGGAAGAGTGTAGGAGAAGGGATTGTGGTGTGGCCATAACCCCAAAAGGTGATTTCTCACTGTCTGTTTCCCTGGTGAATGCATGTGCCCTGTAGCAAAAAAAAAAAAAAAAAAAAAAATTACAAAACGAAAAACATATCATGACTTTCCTGATAACCTAATCATTAGCTACACAAATAATAAATAACACTTAAAGCATTAGTATATTTTTAAAAAGCTGGATAGTAGGTACATGGGTATTTGTTTTATTATTCCTTATACATTTACACATATTTTATTTGTAACCTATTTCACAATAAAATTGCACATAAAAATAATTAGCATGGTTCATTTCATAATTCAATGCCAGTTTACAAGTTCTGTTTTGCAGTTAGGGCACAAACGTTTAAAGTTTATGCTGCCGTGACTTCCAATTAATGCTTGAACAGTGTATTGGTCAAAACGTCCCAAATGCATACTTGATACAAAAGTTCAGCTATCCATTTCCCCTTGTGATTCTTTATAGGGTCGGATAACTCATTATATAGTCGAGCTCCTTAAGAAACCTTAAAGCTGTTTGCTACATGAAGGAAGGCACTACTAGCAAGCCCGAGTGTGCCACTGTTTCTTCTGGGTATGCTAAACTTCTGAAGAAACATCCTTCCTCTAGAATTCATATTCCCCAAGACTGTCAAAATGTTTGATGATTGTGTTACTGGTAAATGTTTTTATGCATATCTCTTTGAACATTTTTTTAGAGCTCAGTAAATATAAGACCATCAAAAAAGAACATACTTTTTCAACATGAGTTGATACCTTAGTGTATTAAACTACTTTCCTGTTTTGGTTATTTTCATCCTTTGCAAAGGTTGTAACTTTAAGAAGATCATGCTCTGGCTTACTATGTATTCCAGGCACTTCGTGAGATGCTATTTCTCTCTTTAGCTTTCATCCTCCACTGTTACACTAGAGGATATACCTTCTTTCAGTGAAACCCCATGGTATCTAAGGGTTTCATTATGGTGTATGCTAACATCAAAACATTTTGTTTGATTTAACAGAGAACAAGCAACTAGTATACAACTGCAGGAACCTCTCCCAGCAGGCATAGGGAGGCATATGGTGTGTGTAATAAATCATCTCTTAAAATGACTGAGTGACAAAACTGTCTGGTTCTCAGTTATGTGCATTTCTTCTGAAGTGAAACTGTTCCACGTCCCTTCTCTTCTGTTCCTTCAGCTGGCATCATGAGAATCATTGATTGCGAGGATAGAAAACAAGTGATTCTAATACAGATACTGGAACCAAACAATATGTGGCATTTTGAATCTTTACAGACTAACACTTCTACGTAGCATCTGTCCTCTAAAAAACCCAAAGAACAAACAAACAAAAAAAACAACTCATGCCATGCTGATTTTTGCATTTTAGCTTATTTTTAATATGTGAGGAAGGCAATTAAAAGCAAAGTTTTGGGGCCAGCAGGCGGTGCAGTAAAGGTTAAGAAACTGGACTCTCACATGGCCTACTGTAGTTTGAGTACCGAACCTGGCAGCTTGAAAGTCATGCTGAGAGCATGTGTGTTCTTGGCCAAGACCCTGAGAGGAGAAGGGAGGACAGGGAATTGAGGTGTGGCCACCTCTCCTTGCAGGGTGGTGGATTTTTCACTGTTCTTTTCACTCTCTCTCTTTCTCTGGTGAGTGCACCCACGCTATGGAAAGAACAAACCAAACAAAGAAGAACAAAGCCAAATTTCTCTATTATGTTCTGTGTGTCAGAGTTAGGAGTCCTCTGGGGGGAAAAAAAGGGACCAGCAGGTAGCGTAATGGCTATGTCGTTGAAATCCCATGTAGCCAACTGTGGTTTGAGTCTTGGACCCGGTGGCTTAAACTCATGCTGGGCATGTGTGTGTGCGTGCCCAAGATCCCAAGAGGAGAATGGAGGAGAAGGGATTGCAGTGTGGCCATCCCTCCTGGGGGGGGATTTCTTGTTTTCTGTCTCTCTCTGTCTTTCTGGTGAGCACACATGCCCTATAGCAAAATCCTCTCAAAAAAAAAAAAAAAAAAAAAAAAAAAAAAAAAGACGTGAGTTGTTTATTACCAGTTTAGAAAGTGTAGATAATTAAGTTAACTTTTTTTTATTTTTATAAATATCCAAAGTAAATTATCATGTGTGGAGTACCTTATGTCTTTTCTCAGATTATCTAAGCAGATAGATTCTTAGGCTCTGTTCTAAGATGTGGTATTGTTTCTTCTTTCTTTCTTTTTTTGTGAGAGATCTTTGCTATAGGGTGCATGTATTCAGCAGAGAGACAGAGAGAGACAGAAAGTGAGAAATCACCCCCCAGGAGGATGGCCACACTTCAGTCCCTTTTCCTCCATTCTCTTGGGATTTTGGGCATGCATGCCCAGTGTGAGTTTTAAGCCGCTGTGTCTGGGACTTGAACTGCAGTCAACTACATGAGTGTCCAGCAATGTAACCATTACAACATCTGCTGGTCCCGTTTCCTTATTTCTGGTGGCTTCTCTGGCTGCTTCTTTCTTAGTCTCTTTGTCCCCTCTTATCTCTCCTTCTCCCCTTTGCCTTTTTCTCTCTCACACGCACACCCCACATGCATGCATACATGTACATGTGTGCACACACACATTGACTGACTTTGATCACTAAGAGTACAACAAAGGTATACCTGAGTCTTGATCAGTAATGTCTCTGTAATAGAGAAAAGGTGATTATGTTTCTGATTTTTGTATTTTTATCTTAAATATTTTTTCTTCAATTATTTTTTATGGATACTCTTTTCCTTTATTCCAATCATGTAGAAACAGCATTTTCTTCATCATGATTTTGGTGTATTATTTAAGAAGGGATATGTTGCAGAGGCAGAACAACTAATGAACGGCACTGTAGGCTAACCAGCACTGCAACAACAGTACTTTGGGGGACTTTCAGCCTTCTGTGAAAAGCAGGGAGTACAAGGGGGAAATTTAAATTAGTAATTGATCATCTTAAGACTTCTTAAAGAAATTCTAACACAGTAACACATTTCCCTCTATCTTAGCCTCTGTGTTCAATGCCTGCAAGTACTGAGATAATGAAAAAACAGAAATACTACAGCAGTGACAGCAGTTATGACAGTAGCAGCAGCTCTTCAGAGTCCGATGAAAATGAAAAAGAAGAGTATCAGAATAAGAAAAGAGAAAAGCAAGTTACATATAATCTTAAACACTCCAGCCACTACAAATTAATTCAACAATCTAGTAAGTAATTCCTTCTACATTAGTATTTATATGAAGAATTATGGAACTGAAATGACTGAGATCAATAAAAGAGGCCTTGGGCCAAATAAACCCTTATCATGTGTGAGGAGACTGAAATCCTACCCTGCTTCCTTCCCTAAGCAGACCTGGGCACACCCGTCAATTTCTTTCAGGTTGTACAAATAGAAAACAAAGGATTGAATTAAGAAGCAATGCTTCCATATTTCAGAGTTTTATTTTTAGGTACTAGATTTTTACATGGGTTTTATAATGTATATTATGGCTAATCTGGTTATGTTTTCTTTTAAGCCAATAGAGGGGTCTTTTAAAAGCCCATGGAAAATGTATATAATGAAAATTATGCATAGATTGAAAAATTTTCGCACCACTATGAATATACATTAATTTGATTTTCCCCGAACTTTTTGAAGTCTCTATTTTCTCATTCTGTTCCCTCCTGCCTTCTGTCAACCACTTTATAGTATTGACTTTTTTTTAGAGAGATTTTTGCTATAGGGCATGTGTACTCGCCAGAGAGAGAGAGAAGGCGAGAAATCACTCCCTGGAGAGATGGCCATGCTGCAGTCCATTCTCCTTCATTCTCCTCTTTTTGCATACATGCCAGGCTTGAGTTTAAGCCTTAGGCCCAGGACGTGATGTGAACTGCGTTCGGCTATTTGAGAGAAGAGCAACGTAACCATTACACCATCTGCTGGCCCCATTATTGACTGTTTTTAGAAATGTGTATCTCTGTAGGCATTTGTCTTGAATGTATCTGTGAGCCACACAGTTGTGAAATGGTGGAAGTGTTTTTCCCTCCATTTTCATCAAGTATAAGCACTTCAGCCAGGGCTTCCGGTGCATAGGAAGTACTTGGAAGAGCAGCCTAACCAGCTTCGTTGTCTCCTTTTTCTCCTGCTGCTTTTTCTCTTTCTATTGTTATTTCTTCTCACATTCCTTTTCTCTGCCTTTCTCTGATCTTTCATTCTTTCTTCAATCCCAAGTGTCCAGTTTTGTGTCAGAGATTCTTCCTTCATCCCTGAACATACAGTGTGGTATTGTCGTTTTCCCAGACTCACTTGGAAAACCACTTCCTAATGCCACCTCCAGTCTAGGCCTTTGCTTAACGCCCATTTTTCCTTTTTGTCCCATGCTACACTGTCCTATGTTTCCACTAAAGGAACTGGTTCAATAATCTAGTAAACACAATTATAGCCAGGTGTGGTGATGAGCGCCTGTAGTCCCACCTACCTGAGACTTGAGACAGGAGGAGTGCAAGTTCAAGGCCAGCCTGGGCAGCACAGCCAGATATTGCTTCACGAAAACAAACAAAAAACCCACAACGATGAGCCTTGGTTGATCCCCCCAGCAATCATTTACGATGTTAACTATCCTTTTTTTTCCCCCTGTGGAACATGTGAATTTACCAGAGAGGGACAGAGAGGGGAAATAAAAATAACACCCACTGGGGTGGTGGCCCTGCCATTTTTCTTTCTTCTTCATTCTCCTCTTGGAATTTGGGGTCCTCGTGCACACATGCCTGGTGTGATTTTTCAAGCCATCGGGTGAGGGACTTGAACTGCAGAGTTGGCTGTATGGGATCAATACCTTAACCACCATATCACCTGCTGGCCACAAGCTTCCATCTTAATGTGTATGTGTATTTTGAAACTGGCCTTCTGTGCTTATGCAAGAGGTATGAAGAACCCATAGATGAAGATGCTAGTAGAATGGTCTTTTCCTTCAAATTATTCCGTAAAGATACATGCTACTTCTGTTCCTGTCTTTGAGGGTTTTTGTGTTGGAGGGAAAATAATGTATTATGTTCTGTTTAATTTATTTATTTATTCACTCATTTAAGAGATGTTAATGAGCACGTGTTCCAGAGTCTGTAAGTTATTGTATAGATTGCTTCCTTTTTTCTTAAGGATTCCTTAAGTACTTTCAGTGTGTCTTGATGTAAGTATGGTTCTGTTTTCCTGCCCAAAATTTGTCAGTTTTAAAATCTTTCTCGTTAATTAATTTGCCAATTCCTAAAACTATGAATTGATGAGGGTTAGGATAAAGAAAAAATAGCTAGCGTTCTTATAGCTCAGTGATTGTTCTCAGACCAATAGGTTAATAAATTGAGATCATGAGACCAGACAGTAATATCATAAAATATACAGATTTCAAATATATTTCAAATGGATTCTTATATTAGAGTGAGCCTAACTCAATTACATTTCTTTTTCTTTATTAGTTATGTTTTTTTTATGCCCATTAGGAATTAAAATGAGGGTTTCACTTTATTGTATATCTCTCTTTAATATTATACTAACCTTAGACATTAGCAGTAGCAGCAGTTCTTCAGAATCCAATGAAAATAAAATAATGTGAACATTATGTCTACCGATCCTTGAGTTCTATGTCCAAAGTGATGCTGATGGCTAAGAACAAAATCCAGATTATGTGTAACACTTTCTCTTGTAGATAGTTGATTTCTATCTCGTAGATAGAAATTCAAATTCATAATAGCTTCCTCTCATTTAAAAAACTGTATAAAATTGTTTTTGTGTATGCCACTTACGACCATTTTTTTTGTTAATCTACCTAAATATCATTGGTATGTCTAACTACTTAGTTACTCTGTTTGAATTCTCATTGTATAAAAAACAGGGATCTCTGCAGTGATACAGTAGTAAGGATATTTTCCTTTTGCTCTGTAATCAGGTTATACATATCCAAACTGTCACCATAAACCCTCAAGGGGAGTAGGACTACAGTGTAGTTAGTAAGACATGCTTTGGGGGTATTTTTTTAGTAGAAGGTTGACCTTTGTGCACATTAAATATGTGTAGTTCTTTGTAAAACAACAAAACAAAACAAAGATTAATGGTGATATGTTATGCAAGTAACCCCTCTCTTAATTTCACCAGAAAAGACAGAACGAAAGAATATAAGAAAGCAAGCTACCAGGTCTGGGACTCAAACCATGGATGGCCATGTGGGAGCCCAGTGCCCCAACTACCATGCCACTAGTCCCTCTCTAGAAGTGTTATTTACAAACATGATACAATTTTTTATGTTCAAAAGAAAGTTAATAGTTGGAAAAAACAAATATTTTTTAAACATCTTTTTTTTTTTTTTTTTTTTTTTTGTGGAGAGGTTTTTGCCATAGGGCACGTGCGCTCGCCAGACAGACAGAGAGAGACATAGAGACAGAAAGTGAGAAGTCACCCCCCAGGGGGGATGACCACGCTGCAATCCCTTCTCCTCCATTCTCCTCTCAGGATCTTGGGCACGCACGCACACGCGCCTGGCATGAGTTTTAAGCCATCAGGTCCGGGACTCGAACCGTGGTCGACTACGTGGGGGGAGTCCAGCGACATAGCCATTATGCTAACTGCTGGTCCCTAAACATCTTTTGATAGCTCGAGTGAGTATACTGTTTTGATGCTTTCTAGAGTCTAAGTGAAGAATATTCGATTTATTATCTAATCAAAATATCCCTTAGAAATATATACCTACATAGAATGTTTACCCCATTGCCTTTATAAAGGTTTGATTTTTTCAATACCTAATAAAGAGAAATTTTTTTATATTTAATCTTATTTCATGTGAATTTTATTACATTATTTTTACTTATTTATTTATTTAGGGAGATTTTTGCTATAGGGTGCGTGCACTTGGTGGAGAAACACAGAGAGACAGAAAGCGAGAAATCACACCACACCCCAGGGAGAATGGCCACACCACAATTGCTTATCCTCCATTTTCCTCTTGGGATTTTGGGCATGCATGCATATGTGCCTGGTGTGAATTTTAAGCCACCTAGTCTGGGACTTAAACTATGGTTGTCTTTGTGGGAGTCCAGCAATGTAACCACATTATGCCATCTGCTGATGTCTACTACATTATTTATTAATGAAGATTGCTATATTCCCCAAGCAGAGAGAGGCTACAGAACAGAGTATATAGAACAATGAGTTTTAAAAAAATGTTGATAGCATTGAGTGATAATATGTTTCTGTGTGTCAAGAATCAAAATCTGTCTGGAATGATTAGTTCTCTTAAATGTTCTCAATATGTAATAAAAAAGATTTTCCATGGTTTTGCCTAGATGTTTCTTTTGATAATCCTATGGATCCATGTTTTTTTTCACACATTTTTTATTGATGGAATTTTTCTAGTTTTGTTATTATTTACTCTTGCGAATAAGAAGACTATGCTTAGTACTACTCTTACAATAAACAATTATATATTTAAATCACTAGGATAATTTTTATATTTTTCTTTCATTAGTTTTTTCCCCCATGGGTCCTAAATTCTATAACTTCTCTATTGATTGTGGCCACTTTTTAGACTCTTTTCCAGGCCTCCCTATGGACTCACTATGAAAAGTTCAGTGTTTAACCTATTCACAGTTTCTAGGACATTATCAATGTAATCTGAAGGATAGTAGATGGTATCATGGTATTATAGAAAGAGGGAGGATATTGAGATCAGGTATGTCAGGTTTTAAACCTGAGCTTGGTTATGTTCTTGGGGTGGTCTTTGAGAAAGTTCTTTCTCTGTGTCTCTGGGCAATGAAAATCTCTACTTTGGAGAGTTTCTATGAGGATTATGATAAAAGTCTAATACCTAGTATGATGCCTGGCTTATGGAAGTGCTCTATAAATGTTGATTTCCCTTTCTTTTATTTCGTTTATGTCATGTTTTGAGAACATAACATTACAGTATTGTTTGTAATGTAATTCCCACAACTGCTATTCTGCATACAACACAGAGGTTCTGCAAGTTCACTGTTCATATTGAAGAATTAACACTCCAAACTCATAGTCTCATGATGACAACTGTGCTTTGACCCTTATTTTCACTCTACTACCACCTGGTCTAATCTTCGGTTTAATGTAGACCTGATAAAAGGGGAGGATTATAGTAACACTCCTATTAAAAACCTCTGATAGAACGGAAGGATTCTACTGACACTTGTATTAAACTGTGCCTCTTTTCCATCACTGATAGGCTCCATGAGGCGTTCAGTCAGCTGCCCACGATCCATCTCTGCTCAGTCACCTTCCAGTGGGGACGCTCGCCCCTTTTCAGCCCAACAGGTGATATCAGTATCACGACCCACGTCAGGGTCTCGGTCACATTCCTTAAACCGTGTTTCCTCCTACACGAGGCATCTGCCTCACAGCAGCGATGCCAGCTCCACCAACCCTCAGATGGTAAGTCATCAATTTTGCTCTTTAGAGATTACAGGAAGCACTGTTTTCAGAATCTAGATGCCAAAGGAAACAACTGAGAGGAAACCTTATTAAATCCTAGATCATTTCTATAATTCAACTCAGGGTTTCCTGGAATTTGGGGTATTCACTTATCTCAAGCTATAAGTTAGTATGAACTCTTAAAAGTCAGACTTCACTGTATCATAGAACTTGAGGATAAACACTGAGAATAAGATGATTTTATTGTCCAGTTGATGATATAGGGGGATACTTTTGTTGAAAATCATCTGAATAATAACATGATTTTGCAATGTATTATATAGTCTATGTGTTGTATAGAACATTCTAGTTAATGGGGCTGTTGATTTATAGGTTAAAAATACTGATAGTTTCTCCTTAGAGCACTTATATATTTATTATTTATGATGTTTTCTATACATTAAATTAACATATAGTATTCCCTTCTTAGCCTGAGTCCTTGAGATTTAGTTGTGAAGAAGTCAGTGAATTTATTTTGCAAGTAAGCTTACTTTTAGATGCTCATATAGATAGTTCCAAGTACTTTCACATAGACCAGGAATTTATTTCATTTGTTAATTTAACATGGGTGGTATTTCCAAAGAGAAGTACCAGGAAGTATACGTGAATGAATTTCGTTTGATATTAATGAGTGTCTTTTTTTCTAATCAAGAGTAATTGCCTGAGGGATATGTAGCAAATGAAACTGACCAGGAGATTCTTTTTAAACACTTAGGTATTTACTTTAGAATCTTGACCTAAATAAAATACGGCTATGTGGAAGTGTGAAAGACTCTTGGGATTCATATCTATTTAACCCAAAGAATTCATAAATGTAAAAATGATTTTCTTCCTTTTTCATTGTTATTTTTTCAATTAAAAGTGCATTATTTTTACCTAGAAATATCTTTCAGATTATACTGGCACAATGAAATAAGACCCCCTCCAAATATCTGTATTCTTTCAAATTTAAGAGTGAGTCTTTGCGGCAACTGAAAACAAAAGAACAAGAAGATGATCTAACAAGTCAGACCTTATTTGTTCTCAAGGACATGAAGATCCGGTTTCCAGGAAAATCAGATGCAGAATCAGAACTTCTGATAGAAGATGTGAGTATTTGATGTATATAAAATACTAAAGAGTCATCCTTTTTTTATTTTCTTGTAAAATATGAAAATTTATTTTCTGGCAGCATTATATTCAATGACATGGTAAACTTATTTGTTCTTTTCAACCTTCATGAGCTTTTTAAAATACGAGGATTTCTTTTAATTGTTATGATTCATCAACATTGATGTCACATTAACAATCAGCAATGCAAAATATCTTTTAGTATATGGTCTTATTTTAATGATAATTAAGATAATTCTTCAACAAGTAAGAATAATTAGTGTTAAGTTACTATTGTTCTTAATGGTTAAAGAGATACCAGATTAAACCTGTTTCTAGGAAGATTTAGAAAGATCCTACATGGACTAGATATGATGAAAAAGTAGGGCCCTGGCATAAAATGTCAAGGCTATTGGAATGTGACACTTTGAATTTCACTTTTTTTTAAATCAATTCTAGAAAAGACTTATGCTGTCTTGTGTGTGTTCTTCTTGTTGCACACACATTTGCACCACCCAGTGGCATATTCTAAAATGGCAAAGGGTCCTAAAATCCATATTAAAGTCAGTGACTTACTTTTAATTCAGAAAAAAGGTTCAAGTTTTTCAAATATTTTTTACAAAAGAACACTTCTTCACACGAGGTTCTTTTCTTCATTTAAACATCACTTTCAAATGGTCATTCTTAGGTAATGCCTGGGCAGGAGACCTTTTCTGGGCTCCCTAGATTTTTTTTTTTTTGAGAGGTAAAGGTACCATCTAGTGGCCAGCTACAGGATGAAACACACAGCCACGCACATGGCCTTTTTCTATTCACTTGCTTTAAAATGATCTAAAAGCAAGTGTATAGAAACATAAAAGCAAAGAGGCAACAATACAAAGGAGTTTCTGGGTTTAAAAAAATCCATAATGGCAATTTATATTTTGTGATCATGACGTCATCATAAACAAGGCCCACATATTATACATTTTGTTTCCATACATGTTGTAAGAGTGAAAATGGAGGCTGGCAGGTGTCATGGTGGTTAAGGGCGCTGGACTCCCCCATGACCCGACCATGGCTTGGGTCCCGAACTTGGTGGCTTTCTTTCGTACTTTCTGTCTCTCTCTCATATTCACTCTGTCCCTCTGTGGTCAAATTAAAATAAATAAATAAAGTTAAATAAAATATATATATTTTTAAAAGTGAAAATGGTTTCTTGTGTGTGAGTGAGCTGCTACTTTTTTCATCAGAGGAAAGGGAGGAAAAACACATTAGTTATAAAGTGTTATGCTAAGGGTGTTTTTATTTACATAGGTTTTCTTATTTGGTAAGTTCTTTCCTAAGTAAAGCCAGGAACTTTATACCACTTCATTTATTATTTTATATATTTCTAAGAACTATCAGTTATAGTCCACCTTTTTAAATTAGGGGTAAAAGAAAATTAGAAACTCAGAGAGTAGAGCGAATACTTGTCACAAATGGCTTGTTCTATAACAAACATATATAGGGTTATAGGGTTAATCCAATATAATTAATAGTTAGATCAGATAGATTATTTACTGTCATAATAAATATTTGAATATAGTCTATATTCTATAGTCTATAGTTCTATAGTCTATATATATAGAATATATATATTCAGAAAATGGACAAATTTTTACAAAAAAAAAAAATGAAACAAAAGGATCAGTGAATCCCAGTTCTGCATAGGCTGCCTTCTAAATTGGATATTCTAAAATTATGGGTGTTGTGGCAAGTACAAGATAAAATTGGCAAATGTATATCTGAAATTTCTTCCTAAACCTTATATACCTGAAGATATTTAACTTTTACTCATTAGAGACAGTGTTCTTGGTTCAAAAAGATGAGAAAACTGTGGATTCAGGTGGCATCTTTCCTTATGTTGAAATCTTTGCACATGTCTTTTTATGAAAATCAACATTTTTTTATTACAAGTAACAGTATAGTGCTTCCATTCACAAATGTTAATAAAATGGTTTTCAACCCAGTTATTTTTTACTGCTTTGATTAACAGTTGAGATTAAATCTCTTAATGTTTCTTCCCCGAAACAGATCATCGATAACTGGAAGTATCATAAAACAAAAGTGGCTTCATATTGGCTCATAAAATTAGACTCTGTAAAACAACGAAAAGTGAGTAATGCTTAAAGCACAGTTTTGTCCTTTCAGATTATATAAGATCTTATACATAGTCAGGTGTTTATTCATTTCTTTAACTAATTTGACACTAATCAAATTATAACTTTTAAATTACACACTTTTATCTGAGTAAATTGAACTCATTATAGTCTGTTAACTCATTTAACACATATTTACTTAGCATCCTGCCATGTGCCAAATACAGAACGGCTGTTGAGGAGGGTTTAGGAAATATGCTAACAGGGAAGATTGCAAATTGACAACCCTGAATACAGTTTGCCCAGTGACTGGGTCTGGCATTGATTGATGAATATAAAAACCTTTCATTAGAATTGGAACCCTGAACTTTCTCATGTTCATGTAGTTCTTAGCAATCTAGAAGACAGAAGACAGTACAAAAATTGCTTATTAAAGCAAAATAGTCAAGAAACAGAAGAAAATATTCCTGAGACACTAATACATGATAAATGTGTCATTTAAAATAAGTGAAGAAAATATGTTTTTTTTTTCCACTGGGTGTAATAAACAATTGATTATCTATTTGTAAAAAAAAATGTAAGTTAGAGCTTTATCTCCCATCATATTCAAAAGTAAATTTCATACATTGCGGTTTCTATGTTAAAAAAGAACATGAATTTAACAAAAAATATAGAAGGATGTATTTATAATCTAAGAGTGGGAAAATAACTTCTTAGGAAACATCTGAACTTAGAATGCTTAAAGGAAAAGACTGGCAGACTCAATGATATAAAACCTTATGACTGGGATACCAACAGGTGTGTGGTGGTAAAGGCTCCGAACTCCCACGAGGCCAACCAGAGTTCAAGTCTCTGACATAATAGCTTGAAAACCATGCTGGGCACATGTGCGTGTATGGCCAAGATGCCAGGATGAGAATGGAGGAGAAGGGATTATGTGTGGCCATCCTCGCCAGGGGATGATTTCTCACTTTCCCTCTCAGTGTCTCTCTCCAGCTAGTACATGTGCCCTGTGGCAAAAATCTAAAAACTAAACAAAACAAAACAATCTTTATGACCAGGAGATCATTGCTGGAGGGATAGAGGTTGATGTGGATAGTGGAGGGGTGTAAAGTTTCAGGATGGAAGTGTCCAGGTGGCTGATCGACAGGCTGAGGTAAAGCCTCTGTAAAGTAGAAGAGACCAAGAATTGTCCCCTCCTTGCTTTGTGCAGATTGGGGAGCTTGGCAGAAATTTTTGTTTAATTTTCTTTTTTTAACGAATAAGTACACCGTACAGATTCTGAGCATGGGACAAAGAACTACATCATCCAGCAAGAGTGAGAAATTTATGAACCCCACAAATCACCCCTGAAAGGAAGCCTGGAAGAGAGAATTAAAAACAAAAAAACTGCATGATGGTTTGAACTGCAGTTTTGAAAGTGAAGGATCCCAAACAGATTATCCAGGACACGGAAAAAAATGGATGAAATGGAGTTAAACCAAGTGCAACTGCCATAATTAAATGCAAAAGTATTGAAGGACAAGCGTAAAAAGCTGTGTGAAACCTTTGAACATATGCTTTGATTCTGAAAAACAGAATCCAGGTATTTATTAAAAAATTGAGAAAGCTGAAGCATAACATGAACAGAAGAGGCCTCAACTTAACCAGTAATTTGACACTGTCAGGAATGCTCTGCCTTGGGACCAGCAGTTAGTGTAATGGCATAATGGCTATGTTGTTGGACTCCCATGTATGTAGTTGACTGCAGTTCAAGTCCTGAACCCGGTGGCTTAAACTCTCACGCTGGGCGCATATGTGTGCATGCCCAAGATCTCAAGAAGAGAATGGAGGAGAAGGGATTGGGGCATGGCCATCCTCCCTGGAGGGTGATTTCTCTCTTTATCTCTCTGCCTCTTTCTGGCGAGTGCACACGCTCTATAGCAAAAACCTCTAAAAAAAAAAAAAAAAACAAAAACACCTGGGGCCGCAATCTCCCTCACTCTCTCATCCCTGAACCCCCCCACTTCAAACCAGTCATCCTCCTAGTCTACGCTCTGCCCCCATCATTACTGTCATCTCCTGATGCACGTGCAACTGTGCAACTTGTTTCTCATTGATTCTATTTTTATTTTTTAAGAGAGATTTTTGCTATTCTCCTCTTGGGGTTTTGGGCATGCACACATACGTACCCAGCATGAGTTTCAAGCCTCAAAAAAAAGAATGCTCAGCATTGGAAGTAGAAAGCATTTCTTTACCAGGTATGCTCCATGTTCCTTTCCGTATCTTGATCTAGCTCATTCCACTTCCTGGTGCTCAGTCACCCTCTACCCTCAGCCTCAGTTTCTGTACTTCCTCTTCTTGGACATGGTGTTCCACATTTTTCTCCTGGCAAAAAACCACTAGGTCCCAACCCTGCTCTACCTCCTCCTCAAGTCTTGCAGAGGCATAGCCATAAAATGGGTTTTGCTAGATCTCCTGCTCCTAGGCCAAAGATATTATATAGTCCTGAACTTGCTCAATGGGGTCATGATGGTGATGTTTCCAGCACCTGTAACAATGGCAGCTATTCTGAAGACATGGATCAAGATAAAGATGATGACAGTACTGATGACAGCCACACTGCCAAATCAGATAGTCAGGGGATGAGTTTGTGTACCATGATGATAGTGAAAGAGACAACAGTAATGAAAAAAGTCAGTTCTGAATGTATGATTGGCAAAAATGCCTAGAAAATCCAGAAAGAAAAAGAACATGAAGGAGCTGACTCTTCCTCAAGTCCTGATGCATCTAATGGCAGATCATTCCTGAGTACAGATTAAGTAGAGGAATCTACAAAGGATGATGATAAGAATGATTCTGAAGCAGAAAAACAAAACAGCATAAAGAGGGATCTTATTCTGATGGCACATCCACTGCAATTCCACAGCAATGGGCCCCCTGTCTGTTTCACCTCAGACAGAAGGACTCCCAGGCCAAGGCCACCTCCTCTTGGACGACCACCTGCTCCACTTTTATGGCCTTCTAGGCCACCAACAGGCTTCTCTTCTGGGCTTCTCCAGGAGCTCATTCATTTGACAGTGACCAGAATGCCAAGACTGTGAGGGTCTTTACTCTTAACTTTTACCTCCAGGGCCACCAGCAGACTGCCCCTATGGCCCTTTCCCAAGACCACTCCAGGTCTGCCTCCTGGTCCTCTTTTTCAAGACCCCCCCCCCAAGACTACCTTCCCCTGTACCTCCAAGAAGTATCCTTTCACTTTGTCCTGGCAAGATGCAACCACCTTTGGTGCTTTTACTTGGACCTGCCCCATCTGAGCTTTTCCGACCAGCTCCCTCTGCTGAACTCTGGTGGGTTTACTTGCCCCATCTACTTGGTTCAGCTACCCAAGATGGATGATATGAGCACAGCCACCATTGAGAAGAAAGCCACAGCAACCTTCAGTGCCAAGCCACATGGTCCCAAGACAGATTCCTCGATTGGTGCCCACTGTACTGAGGGACGTCGGGAGAACAAAGGGACTACTGCTACTACCCACAAAAAGTCAGAGGATGAGTCTTCTGTGCCTCCAAAGCAGCCCCCAAATTTGGCGCTTCTGTTCTTTTCTGAGTACATGCTAAGGATGATGTTTATGAAGCTTTCATGAAAGAGATGGCAGGGTCACAGTGACAGCTTTGGATGCCAGAACAGGGTTCTGTTCACAACAGTGATTCTTAGAGAAAGAAACTCTTACTAAACTTAGTTGTAAGAGATATTTCCAGGATATTTTCTCATTTTAGTTCAAGGAATATACTACAGTTTAGCCTTCTTCCAAATTTACTGCATATAAGAGAGGGTATTTCATTAAGTAAATTTGTTATTGAAGCAGTACTGCTAACATTCATTCCCTTTCACTCCACCATTTTTATCCCATTTCTTCACTTTCTCCAGTTCTTTGGAAATTTATGGTCGAGGGGGTCTTAGTTACTTAGTTGTTTTGACTCTCTTGTGTGCTATAGACATTGAAGTAGAGAGTTTTGAAAAGCCACTTTCATCTTGCCTTTCCTGTTGAGTTATTTTTAAATATTTTCTTGTAACTATTTTGTACTATTTTACTTGTAGTGAAATAGATCCCAATGTTACTTCCTAATACAAAACAGGATATGTAGGAATAAAACATATGATTCATTGATTAAAATTATTTCCCACTGACCTAAACTTTGAGTGTTTTATGGATGGTTGACTGCAGTTCGAGTTCTAGACCTAGTGCTTTGCTTTCTCACTTTCCTTCTCTCTCTCTCTCTCATGTGAATGCATTATGTATATAAAATAATAATAATAATAATAATATTGAATAAAATTAAAATAAATAATTCTTTGAAAAGATTAGAAGGCCACACAGTAGTATTGGGAATTGGGTGGCGCAAGGAGGAGGATATTGAGGAAGACATGTTTATAGCATATAAACCAAAAAGTAACATCAGTAAACTAACACCTCTACAATCAGCAAAGGACATATTAGCCTATAAATACTAATAAATAAAAGTAATATAAAAAGGCCATGAAAAAGCAACTCATGGTTCTTTAAATAGAAAATTAACATGTAAATAGTTCCTTGGCCCCACTAATGATGCAGAAAAAGCAACTAAAACCTATCATATTGGCAAATATTATTATGACAGATAGTAACCAGTGATGGAAATAGTATAGATTAAAGGGTGTTTGTGATACTATTAGGGAACTATTCACTAGTGCAACTCTTTAGAAAAGTCATTTGCAGTATCAAAATTGTAAGTATTCAAAACCTTGTGATTCAGCAAAATCGCTTCCAGCATTCTTTCTATCCTACAGAATAGTAGCCTGACTGTATAAAGAAAGTATGAGCTTAAGTATTTAGTGCAAAGATATTTATGAATATAAAACATGAAAACACCTGAGTGTCTATCAGTAGATTTATGATAAATAAATTATAGTATATCCATATGATAGGAAGCATTCAATTGAACATTATCTTAGAATCATAGATCTTATCCTGAGATACACTGCAAGACTCTGACTCATGACATTTGGAACAAATGCACATTAGTATAGTTAACGAAACTTTATTAATCATGAGCGAAGAATGCAAGCAAGGCACCAAGTGCAAAGTCTTGTGGGCAGCCATGAGTCCATCAGCTTTCCAGTGTCCTTTTCATATTCCTGGAGGCATTCTGGGTTCAGAAACCAAATGCCACCTATATGTGGTCCACGTTGGCACAGAAAGAGCCTTTATATTTGGGTGGCTTTTTTATTTTCCATTCATCACCAGCACAGGTGACCTGACTAACTTCCATACTCTAGCTGGATGAGGTAACAAGCCCACATTTACTGAGTACGAGTGCTGGGCCACAGAACTTTCTGCAGTGATGGAAGTGTCTGTATTCATGATGTACAAGCAGTCACCACTACCCATATGTGAACTACTAAGTACTTGTAATGTGGCTATTGCGATTAAGGAACTAAATTTTAAATTTAATTAAAATTAAAATTTAAGGGTTCAGTAGGTGGCGTGTTGGTTAAGGCATAGGATTCCCACATGACTGGCTGTGGTTTGAGTCCTGGACCTGGCAGCTTGTGTTCTCACTTTCTTTTTGTCTCTGGTCAAATTGAAAAAAAAAAAATTAATTAATTGATTAATTAATTATTTTTTAAAATTTAAATGATCAGAAGTGTCCTATAGCCACCACATTTGACGGTATGGGTTTAGAAAACCAGGTATAGTATTTAAAAAACATTCTTAGAAAAGAACTTTCTCAGTTATCTTCCTACTGATAAATTCAGTCAAGAGAGTTGCAAGAATGTCCAGGAAGGTCAGCATTGCCATGGGAATCGCAAGAAGGGAGCATGTCTGTTAATCTTTTTCTTTCCATGTACCATTGAAAAAAGATGGCAAGGTAGTTAAAAAATAATGAGTTTTTTTTTTTTTTTTTTTTTTTAAAGCTTTTGCCATAGGGTACATATCCTCACTGGAGAGAGACAGAAAGAAAGAAAGTGAGAAATTTACCCTCTGAGGGCATGGCCATGCTGCATTCCCTTGTCCTCTATTCTCTTCTCAAGATTTTGGGCATGCAAGCACATGTTCCCAGCATGATTTTCAAGCCACTGTGTCCAGGACTCAAACTGTGGTTGGGCATGTGGCAGTCCAGCACCTTAAGCACCATGCCACCCTCTGGCCCCCAAGTTACACTATATTAATCTACCTGTGTATATATACTATTTTAAAAGTATGTATCTAGCATTTATTTTTTTAAACAGGTACCATTGTTGTGATCATTTATTTTTGCAGTGTAAACTTACTGGGCCAGGGGAAAAGTGCTGATATTTGGTGCCATTTTACCTTTTGTTTTTTATGTATTTTTATGCTTTTTGTTACAATAATCTTTTTAGAAAGAATTATTTAATTTTATTATCATTATTATTTTTTGAAAAAATTTGCTACAGGGCATGTGTGCTCACCAGCATGAGCACACATGCACACACACACATACTACACAGGGAGAGAGAGACAGAGAGAGATAAAGTGAGAAAGCAAGCCACTAGGTCTGGGACCCAGACTGTGATCAGACATGTGGGAGTCCAGCACTGTAACCACCAGGCCACCTGCTGGTCCCTAGATTAATCCTTTAAAATATGGAAGATAACAGGATCTCTGTGGAAAGGGTCTGGTGATGTAGGTTTGTTTCTAGTCACAAATCATAATCTTATAGTGACGTAGGGGTGTGGGAATGCAGTGGAGCACTTCTCTTCTGACCCTAGGACCTTGCTCCTGTTGTCCTTGAGGCCTAGTCTCCCTTCTTCACAGGTCCATACTCCACTTTTTTTGAAAATCTAATTCTATCTATTTCATAAAACCAGCCTGAGTTTCCCCAGCACCAGATAAATCAGAATATTAGCTTTCTCTGTTTAATGTTCAGGACATTTTGTACTCCACTGTACTTATGATCTGCCTTGAGAGATTTATGGGTTAATTTTTTGTACCCTTCTGAAAGCCAAGGAGTAGGTCTTACTTACTCTGTAGTTACCTACAGAGACTTTCTCTAAACATTTGTTGACTCATTTTAAACTGTTTTATGAGCTCAGCCAATATAAGCTCCTTCTTTCTATACTAGCACTATGTATTTATTTGAACAGCAACAAAAAAATTAAGACAGTGCTTTCTGCTTTTTACATGTGATATGAGGAGGACTTGTATGGGATGATCAAATGATGTGTGTGAAAAGTAATAATGTTTGAGAACTGGAAGGAACAATTTGCTTTATATGTGTTAGGATTGTTATGCTCAATTGGGCTTAATTTAGAGTGAAAATAAGTGCTTGCTTGTAAATTCTTAAGCAAGTACATCTACCCCTCTCCTACTGATTTACTCTAAGAAGAGTGGCAGTGAGTTATCTTTGTGTAATCTTTCTCGAGTTCTCAGTTGTGCAACCACATTTAAGTATTAATAACAGGGAGTAGAAGAACTAATGTGAGGGGCAGGATCTCTATTATCCCGTTACACCCTTTCTTTTGAGTCTCCTTGTTGCTTCTCTCTTTTGGCATAAATCAAAGGTACTGTACATCTTTTGTGCTTGAAGAAAGTAACTGGATGTCCTATCTCCAGTAAAAGCTTGTTAAAGTCCCATAGTTTGCACTGTCCAAGCAGTTTCAGCCCTTCTTTTATATGGATAATTTAATAGGCAGTTCTATTTTTGGCAGAAGAATCCAAATCTTGAATTTTGGCTATCAAAGAACAAGAAGAAATAATTTTCACTAGAACAGGTTTATCTTACAAATGACTTAAAATGACAACGGCTGAGGAATGCGGGGCCCAGGCTCTCAGCAGACATGGAAGCCTAAAAGGTACACATGTGCAACATTTGGTTAGCATTTTTTTTCTTGCTCTTGTTGTGATTATTGTGGCTTTTTCTTTCCATGACCATTTTGTTTTTAAGAGAGTTTTCCCCAAACAAGCTCTAATTTCTCAGACATACAGTGAATGGCCGGGAGTGGCTGAGGGCAGTTTTCAGCAGCATTCCTTCTCTGATGTCCTTCTGCCCCTGCTGCAGAGGTAACTGAAGATCTCTTTTCCATGAATGATTATTTGAATATAAGGAATTCTAAAACAAAGTTATGTGAAGCCTTTCATGTTTGTAAAATGAACTTCACTCACATTTATAAATTCTTTCACTCATCTTCACAAAAAGAAGCACAACAAACATGACAGTGTGAATGTAGTCATCAAGCCAGCAGCAATGGAAGTACTGAGTTCTAACATGAACAAAGACTTATCGTATCGGGGTTCTTTTTTTGAGAATTATTTTATTTAACTAACTTTTTTCTTTTCTCTTCTCTTCCTCCTTTCCTTTCCTTTCCTTTCCTTTCCTTTCCTTTAATTTTGACCAGAGAAGGAGGGAGAGAGAGAGAAAGCCACCAACCAGGTCCGGAATTCAAACCGTGGTCGGCCATGTGGGAGTCCAGTGCCCTTAACCACTATGCCACCTGCCATCCCCCTTATTGGGATTCTTAAAAACATGTTGTCCAGTTAATCAATAGCATTAGAATTAATTATGTGAAATAATTCAAACTAACCTCAGATAGTAATAGAAGAAAAGTATAGAAATATTGTGAATACAGTCTTTGGGACAAACTTAAATGTT